GTTGAGGGGTATTGGGCTCTCTGCCCTCATCAAGCTCTCGGGGGCAATCTGCAAACTGAGGCTTCCAGGGAGGCATCGCCTCCTTTGGTGCAATCGCCACCAATGCGCACAAGGCGGGCGTTTGCCCTAGGCCCTAGGTTTGATTAGTCAGGACTTTTGGCCATTTTGGGAGTTCTGGGGCCAGTCCTGCTTGTGATTGCCTTGCACCATCGAGCTGCCAACGACTGTTTTACCTCCTCCTCCTCCTCCTTCTCCGCATCAGCTGCAGAGTGAGGATAGTGGCGCGAACCCTAAGCTCGAAAACTCGCAGCTTTGTGGGTTACGGTGCCGCTGCATGGCCCCCAGAGAGAGAGAGAGCGAGAGAGAAACCAAAAAGGGAAGGAACGAAACAAAAGGATGTGATCCATCGAGATGAGTCTGGATGCTTCTGCATGTTAGGGGGGGCTCTCTCAATAATTCTCAATAAGGGTTCCTAAAGTCTAGTGACGTGCCGTTGTCGTGAAATTCTTCCAAAAGTCGACTCTGGGAAAGTGGGAAAGGCAGAGGGCTACCACATTCTGCTTGGGGTGTTTGTGATCTTCTGTAGTCTCCATTGCCGTTCCTTTTGTTATTAGAAAAACCCTCGAGCAAAGCTTCCCAGCCCGCACAAAACCGCATCACCCGGCTCATGGCACTATCAGCCGTGAAGCTCTACACCCGAAGCTCCACCACCCCAACGACCCCCAGATCATCCATCTCACCACCTACCACGCGATGAGCCGACATCGTGCGAATATTTGTGCAGCCCTGGGAGCTGGGCACTCAGGGGGTAAATTACGCGGTCGACAAAAACCTAACCATGGGGCCGTGCAGAGCCTCTAGGAGTCTGTTAGGGCTATTAGGGTTTCGGGTGTACAGACCAGACTATGCTAAATTTCATGTATAGTCCAGGGTTCCATGGGGTGCCAGCCTTGGACCCTGCATGTAGATCGCAGAACTGCTTGAGAAGGAAGTTCACCTTGCATGGGTTGTTTTGGCTTTATAGCTTCCCTAAACCCTAAACCC